TAAGGTCTAGTTGACGTAGGATTTCACCATGGGGCTAATCAGTCTAATCAATCAGTGTAAAGGAGCAGTAATTTGGGCCTGAGGAACCCATTCATAATGGCTAACGTTAATGATTGAACACTTGGCCGCATGTATCATATTTTAGGCCTAATCCTTACTTGTTTCAGATTTCCCTTGGGCAAGCCAAATCTCCTAAAAAAGTGGGTGCAAGTTATGAGACGAAAAGACTTCCATCCAACAAAGACTATCTATCTATGTGGGAAACACTTCACAGAGGAAGATTTTGAGGTTGGGGGACTCATCAGAAGGCTAAAGCCAGATGCCATCCCTAGCATTTTTGATTTTCCAAATCATTTGCTTAAGGTGTGTTTTGGATTTGGCATGAAATGATGGCTTTGAACGTTGGACACCTTTACTATTTGGTTCAGGTTTTTGCTGCCCTCCTAAATTAGCTTTTTATTCTTTTTACACCATGAGTAGGTAATCAAGGAACGGCAAGCCCCAAAAAAGAGGAAGAGGTCTCTCAGTCCTGTGATGGATGGAAAGTTAGTGGCAACAGAGCATAATTATTCCAATTCCCTTGAAGTGAGCCCAAGAAAGATGAGGAGGGAGATGGAGAAACTGAAAGCAAAGTTTGAGAGACAATTGACAACTCTGAGACAGAAAACGGCACGGAAAAGTGGCAGAATCATGCAGCTGAGTAAGGTAATTCAGGAGTTGGAAGAAAAAAATATTCTCAGTGATCAAGGCATGGCATCAATTGAAAGGTTCAAACCTCTGGCCCAAACTATCTTCCTGAATGAGAAAAGAAACTGTGAAACTACAAGGCAAGGTCACAGGTCAGTATTATGGAATAGCCTTATTATAGTCTCATGATTGACTTAGAGTTATACATCTGAAGGAAAGTGAGACTAATTTCAGTTTTCCCCCTTCTCTTTTCTGCTTTCTGCTTGCTAACTTATGAATTTCTGGCTATTATCTATTTCCCAACTTTTTTTTCCTCAAAACATCTAACAGTACTTTGCTTCCCATGTTCCTACCTGCTACATAACCTTTGTAATACCTACTCAGATGGTCATTGGGATATGGATGTACATTTCTTGCTGTATATGCTTCACATCTCACTCTCCCTCTCTTTCACATGATTGTACCACTTGGTACTAGTCTCCTTTTGCATATCTTGCCTTGCTGACCAAGTATAGGTATGATCCAGAAGTCGAGCGGTTTGCCGCAACAGTGGCCTTTTATTCGCCCAAAGCCTATGAGTTCTTGTGTGAACACTTCCACTTGCCAGACCAGAGGACCCTGAGACTGCAATTGACCAGCACAAAAATGAGGCCTGGCTTCATTTGTGAAGCATTTCATGCTTTATCAAAACTTGATGGAAAACATACTTTCTGAGGTACTAGTCTCCTTTTGCACTTCTTTTGCATATCTTGCCTTGCTGACCAAGTATAGGTATGATCCAGAAGTCAAGCGGTTTGCCGCAACAGTGGCCTTTTATTCGCCCAAAGCCTATGAGTTCTTGTGTGAACACTTCCACTTGCCAGACCAGAGGACCCTGAGACTGCAATTGACCAGCACAAAAATTTTTGCAATTTGAATTTGACCAGCAATTTGAAGGATATGTGGATTTTGGGGAAGCAGGAACTGGGACAAGCATATCTGTGCCCCTAGCAGATGAAGCTCTAATTGTCATGGTCTCAGGACTATTGTCATCTTGGAAATTGCCCTTGGGTTACTTCCTCATCAAGGGTTGCATAGGTAGAAGCATCATGAATTGAATAATTGCTGTTGATTCCTAATTGACAATGATATACAATGATTCAAGATATTAATCTTGTAGGGCATCAACTGGCTGAGATAATCTCTCAGGCTGTATCAAAGCTGCTGGAAGTTGGGATGTCTCCAAAGGCACTTGTCTGTGATGGCCTGAGGGCCAATCTCACTATGATGACAGAACTGGGTGCTAGACTCAGTCCCCCAGAGAAGCCATATATTGAGGTACATGGAGTGAGATTGTGGGTTTTCATTGATGTCTGCCACTGCCTGAAGCTGATGAGGAACTACCTTGCATCATCTAAGAAGTTTTTGCTTTGTGGAAAGGTGATGGCCTTGGCTCTTCTGACTTGAATACTCTGATGATGGTGATCCATACACTTTAGATAGTTGTTCATCTTTATCTACAGGAAATCAAGTGGATTTACATCGTAAAGCTGATAGAATTGCAAGAGCAGATGAAATTGAACATCGCCAATAAGCTGTCCCGTAGACATCTGGAATGGTATCGGCAGGAAATGAAAGTCTCTCTTGCTGTTCAGACATTTAGCAGCTCAGTGGCTACTACTCTACACTTTCTTGAGATGAAAGGACACCCTGATTTCCTTCATTGTGGACCCACTGCAGATTTCATTGCAGATATTGACAGGTATGGTTTAGTTAACCTTATAAAAATGGGATGTTGTGAGTGACAAATGATTTCATGTCGTTGCTGTTCATGTGCAGACTCTTTGATGTCTTGAATTGCTCAAATCCGTATGGGAGGGGCTACAAGTCTCCTCTTAGACCAGAGACAGAGTATGTCTGGCAGCTGTTCCTTAATGAAATGGAAGGGAAGCTGAGAAACCTCCTGATGCCAGATGGATCAGCAGTTGCTGCTCAGCCCCGAGTTGGAGCTCTGGGATTAATAGTGGACATCAAATCTGTATCAGGTCTGGCCAAGGAGCTATTTGAAGGCCTTCATGCAAAGTAAGGGGACAGTCTAGCTTGTCTCAATGAAATAGCAGCTTTCATGAACCACAAATTTCTTCATGACTTTGATTTACTGCTATAGGTATTTCCTGGCATACAATGTTTCCCAAGACCACCTAGAATTGTTCTTCAATGCTATCAGAAGAAGGAATGGGTGGAACAACAACCCCAATGCCATGCAGTTGAGAAGTGCCTTGCATCAAATATTTGGACACAGCTTGAGCATAAGGCCATCAATATTGGAACTAAAAAACCTGGTGTAGCTATGGAAGCAAAATGGCAGAGTGGCACTGTATCGGTCAAGAGTAATTACATTCAAAAGTTGGAATACTAGTGTAGTATTATATTTAAAAAAAACAAAGGGAGTTACTGCAATCTATTCCATTAGGTAGGTACTGCAGATTAGTGTAAGGAATACAGAGTGCAGTGAGGTGGTGTTACATGGAAGGCCCAAGATAAACATTATGGAGGGCCTTCATAGGGCATCATTATCTTAGTTTAAATGTTAATTCATAATTCAACCACTGATTTTAATCTGTGAGACGCTAAGTAGCACCTTGTGTTGCGTTCCTGCAAAACCAACTACCCCAGGAAGGACCTCTCAGAACCAAGATTCCCTTGGAAGTTTTGTCTTCAGGGACCAAAAATTGCTAAGTCCTTGGAATAATCTACCCACCTCACTTCCATTTCCCTGCATACCTGGCATACCTGCCTACTAGATTTAATTTAATTCAAATGCTCGTTTTGCTTTAGATCTGCTGTAACTTTTTTTTCTATTGATGAGTGTCAGTATTCCTGCGTGCCTAGGCAAGTCACTGGCCATTTTCTTAAAGGGCTGTGGCCCCATGTCAGTATTCTTTATGTCAGGCACACACACACTGCTGTTTTTCTCGCCAGCATGGCAAGAAAAACAGCACTCTCTCAAAAAACAGCTCTCTCCACATGTTCACCCTAGGCCTAGGCTTACTGTGCATCCATTTGAAAGTAGGGCCTTATTTCTTGAGTGTGTGGTACTAGCCCAATGTAGCCTCCTATATCCCGCTTCCTCATTCTTTTCAGCCCAGCGTTGCCACTCTCTCTGGGTCGCCTATTTTCTAGCCTATCCTAGAAAGTCCTCCCTAGATTATTTCCCCTACATCCCTTACATAGCCAATATCCCCCACCAAGGATGTCTCCTAAACTCCTTAGGAGCTCCCACATCGTCCTCCCCCCTCGCACTTCCCTTCCCTCATGCACCCGAAATGTCAGCACTTCCACCAATGCTCCCAAACTCCCCACCCTGCCATCATCCTTCTCCCCACCCCCCTCAACCTCTTCCTTGGTCAATGTTTACTTCCTGGAAAATCCTCCACCCTCACCTTCCTCTTCTTCTACAAACTCACATGACTCCAGCTTCAATCAAGGACACCTAATTGGTGGCCAGTTCATTGAAGTGACGAAGGCCAAAGAAAACCCCAAAATCCCCATACTCATTCTCACTCAACACTCACACTCAACCCTAATAGGCCTCCCCTCCCCAAGTACAATTTCCTGGTAGTGCTACATGGCCTGAAAGACCAGATTCTACCCCCACCAAAGTTCCAACATGCTTTTAAGGAGCACTTTAAATTCTTCACCAAGTTGCACCATTTCAGGGGGGGTTTTGCACTAACCATGGCAAGCAAGGTGCTCCAGGAGTGGCCTAAGAGTCCTTTGGGGCTGGCCAAGCTGCCAGGTTTGGCCATTATCTTTTCCAACACATGAAAGTTCGTGGTCAAGGGGGTAAGCCGAGAGGTCCTCTGGACCAGAGGACTTCACTTCTTAGCTTAAAGAGCTCAGCTATGAGGTGGTGCAGTTCTTCTGCATGAAGAAGGCCTCAACTGTCTCCTCCTTGAGACCAAGGCCAATGACATGTCGGCCAGCCTTGAGAAGAAAGTGATACTTAGTGAAAGGGCCCCTCAGGTACAGGGCCGAAACCTTTCAGGTCAGGCCGTGGATGCTGCAATACATCTGGTGCCACCAGTACGGAAGATAAGTTGTGTAGTGTGTGCAGGCGAGCATCCTGCTCTAACTGTGCACTGGGAGTCAGGAAATGCCAAAGGCTGTCACCAAGCTGACTCATGTACCAGCCCTAGTAGAGCCTCCCACATGGGTTACCTTGCACAGAAACTCTCACACTCTACCTCTCCCCCTTCCTAACATCCTCCACCCCCACCCAACCCAAAATCCAACCCCCTCCATCTCCCAGCATCCCCAACCTTCTTCCACAACCACTCCCTCATCCACCATCTCTACCCTGAATGAAGCCCCTCCCCCCCCACCCTGAACCAGCTCCCAATAACCTGTCCTAAGCAAGTGCCTTTTCATGATGTACGAGTGTGGATTGGACCTGTGTGCTTTGGGTAACCGTCTCCTAGTTAATAATGTAATTTTTTTTCTTGTCAATCTTGAATGATGCCCTACGTGCTCCAGTACCATCCATCTACTCCCTCAAGCCTCAAGCCTCCTCAGCCTTTTAAAATAGAGATTATTGGTGTAAAAATAATGCTAAAAGATAAAAAGCTCAACATGTTTCACTTCTGCCTCTTACCCAACATTGACCTCCTACTATGCCTTCCCCAGGAACCCTCTATTTTCATAGGTGACATGAACAATCACAGTCCCTTTCAATCCTTCTGTGATGTGACGAACCCCCATGGAAGACTCGTCTCCTCCTTTCTGGACAACTGACTTTTCCCTTCTTAGCAGCCCTGACCCAACTCACTCTTCTCTACTCTTCTGCTGACTCTCCCTCATACAGATTTCGACTTGACCCCGGTGAACTCATTCATCCTTCCTTACATCAGGAACTGTTCCATAGGGCTCAATGGGCTCAGACCACCTGCCCATCATTTTGACAGTTGACTTTCACCAACACCCTGGACTACCCCTGACTTTCGTAGACTGACTGGACTGGACTGGACCCTGGATACTTGGGGGTTTGGAAAAAAGCCACCCGGAAAAAAGACCCCCAGAATTGACAAAAGCGGAAAAAAGCCACCCGAGATGAAAATGCGAAAAAGCCACCCAGGTCATTGCTTAATAATTTC